AGAAGGTGTTACTGGTAGAAGCGTTGTCAAACACTGAATACCTGTGACATCATCTGCTGGATCTTAGTATGAGAACAAAAGTAACTTATTGATAAAAATAGACGAAAAATTTAAAGTAAACCTCACCATAATGTAGCAACGCAAGGATTCATGGGATAGTTCAAAGTTCGCTATTTTGACAAGACCCTTGTCATTCATTAAGAGTTTGGAGATTTTTAAGTCCCTGTGGATTATAAAGTTTTCATGAAGGTATTTCAGAACTTTGGAAATCTGAAGCATGATGCATTCACATTCAGATAAACAAAGCGTATAAACAGACCAGAGAAGGTAAACAAGCCAAATTGCTACAATACTCATTGCAAGCGTCAGTATAGCAGAAAATAGATAGTGTGTAGCGCAGCGAAGCGACACACTATATGAAATAATAATTGACAGACAAACATACACAAAGCACATAGATGGAGATACACAAGGTCGTAAAAATAAGGTGTGTGTATGTAATGGATACGATGTGCTATGAAAACAATAGTCATCGTGATGGTAAGAATGACGCGAAGTCAGATGCTGTTCGATTTATCAAGGTCTCTTCAAAAGCTATGATTAATCATTTAAGTGTGTATTAGCACTCGACTCTACAAGACCGAAAACCAAGACCACACAAAGTACCGGTGTCATACAGGTTCACCAACAGAGTAATCAACTCAGTAATCACCTACTGGAAGAAATGATGTCCGTAATTTCAAATGATTCTTTCAAGATATCTCTAGCTACTCAGTGAAGTTGAACAGAAAAGGACTACCATTTGAACCATTTGAACCATTTACCAAAAGCAGTCGCCCTCTGTCCTTTGTGCACATATATGAATCTATCGTTATGGCGGGACAGTGGTTCCCAAAAACCCTGCAGGTGATTCGACCCACGTTAAGAGAGCCCAAAAGAACCAGGCATCACCGCCTATGCCGAGCAACCCAAGTGTTGCTGCACGGAAAATAACTGGTGATTTAGTCGCACAGTCTACCCCCAAGACTGTTCGTCCGGTCAATAAAGAGCCCAAGATTCATAAACGCACACTGACCTCCAAACAACAAGTTATTAAACCTGAACCCATCGTGAAACCTGGTAAATTAACAACAGTTCGTGACGATTCTCTCATTATCATGAACCTCGTTGACAATCCTGACCTTCCTCTCTGTCTGCAGGACAAAAACGACAGGATGCTGTGGGATGAATTGAACAAGAAGCTCGAACTTCCTAGAATAGAGCCTTTAACGGTCACCCGGCTCACTCGAGGAAAGGATTCTAAACATCTAAATCACCCGAGGCTTCTCCGAGTAACACTTAAGAATGCTACCGACGTAGAGGACGTCTTGCTAGCAAGTCACTTACTGAAATCAGATGGTAACGTAAGAATATTGCCCGACATACCGTACTCTGAGCGCAATATCATACGGAACGTCCCTAAAGAATCTCGCGAGAAGTTTTTCCGCGGAAGAAACATAATTGTCCAAGGTATACCGGAAGATGCAGACCCTACTCAATCAAATTCTGACATCAGGGAATGGAAATTCATCAAACAGTCCTTGAGGCTCAAACACATACTGACTCAGCATGTGACGAGACTAGCCAAGAAGGACGGTGATCTTAAACCCCGTCTAATGAAGATAACCTTCCCATCCTCCCACATGGCGGCTGCAGTTTTGGAAGCATTTCGTGCTAATAGACGTCGATTGCCACCTGGAATCCACATGCACCCGGATAGGCCATACGAAGTTAGGACCAAGCACAAAGGCAAGTTGGAGCTGACCATTCCACTTGTGGACTGTCTAAACGATAAAAAAACGTGTAAAGGACAGGGCCTACCACCTCGGCAAACCTCATATAGTTGGGCTACCTGTCCATTCACATAAGGTTCATACAGAAAAACAGGACGATGCTCACGCGTTCCAAATTGAAAGCATAAACTGCTTATATATGAACGCCGCGAGTCTACCAAACAAACTGGATGAACTACATGAACTTAGCAACACTAATAAGGCCCATCTGATAGGAATATCTGAAACCTGGATATCTTCTCAGTCCTCGGACCAAGAGTTAGCATTACCTGGGATGACTTTGTTCCGCAACGACAGAAAAACAAGAATTGGGGGCGGAGTAGCCATATACATAAGCTCTTGCTTGGAGGTGCACCAGGTTCACAAACTCGAGTTTAACAATCTTGAGGAATCCATATGGTGCTCTGTTAGATTGTCTAGTACTTCCAGGTATCTAGTCGGAGTCATTTACAGGAAGCCAACTGCCGACATCGAGTACGATAGTCGTATGCTGGAAGGACTATCCCGCTCTACTCGTCTCGGTTTCACACACATCCTGATTCTAGGGGACTTTAATCTCCCTAGATTCAACTTCGCGGAACACACGTACACTGGCGGCGACAACTCAACTGAAGCTCGGTTCTTCAACCTCATCGATAACTTGGGCTTATATGGAAATGTGAGGTCGGCAACTCGTTGGAGAAACAGTCAGACACCATCACGCCTAGACTGTGTATTTACAAACGAAGAATTCCTAGTTGACAACCTCTCAATCCTGCCCCCCTTGGGAAAAGCGATCATGCCGTCATAGCCTTCAGTTTTGTCATCAAAACTAAGCTAAGGTATCCCAACAATAATTTGCGTTGGAATTTTAAACGGCTGAATGTGCCAGCTCTACATGACTATCTACAACAGGTGGTTTGGGATGTTCACCCTCAACTCGCTGTGGATGGTCATTGGGACTTCTTACTGCACACGCTCTTATGTACTACAGACCATTCAGTTCCTCAAACGGTTCCCAAAAGCTGCAAGCCACCTACAGTAATCAAGAACCGTACCCTTCGCCTGGTAAGCCGCAAAAGGCACTGTTGGGCAGAATACAAACGAACTAATAACGATGGAGCGTATAGGGAATATAAACATATCAGGAACATATGCACGAAGGCTATAAGAGAAGACAGGCTTCAGTACCAAACAAAGCTTATGGACAAATTCGCCTCTAACCCTAGAAGCCTATTCCGTTATGCAGCCTCTCTTCGTCAAGCCAAAACAGGAGTTTCTCAACTGCTAGGTCTTAATGGCCCGACCAACAATGATGGCGACGCCGCTAACCTTCTGGCGGCACATTACTCTCAAACATTTCAACCGGCTGACATCAACTTTATTGACGACAGTTTCATCTGCAATTCCACAGGACTTTCTGAAGTGGACCTAAGCGCTGACTTGAAGTTCCGGAAATTGCAGCACTTAAGACTTGACACTTCTCCTGGCCCGGATATGGTTCATCCTGCCATACTGAGGGAGGCAGCCTCAATCCTGGCAACGCTGCTCAGCGTGATGTTTTCACACTCGCTTAGCCGAGGCAAATTACCCGAAAACTGGAAGTTGGCTCACATCACACCAATTTTCAAAGGTGGTCGACGCAATGAACCTTCAAGTTATCGGCCGGTGGCTCTTCTGTCGTTACCTTCAAAACTCATGGAGTCCCTGATATGCGACGGTCTAAATGACTATCTACTGTCCTTAAATTTATTCTCACCCCAACAGCATGGTTTCAGGAAGGGTTACTCTTGTATAATCAACCTGCTGACTGCGGTGGACAGATGGACAAGCATCCTCGATCGCAAGGGAAAGGTTGATGTCATTTACCTTGATTTCTCAAAAGCTTTTGATAAGGTTAACCACTTGTGTCTTATCAACAAGCTCAAACGACTAGGTATCAAACCACCTCTAATCGATTGGCTTACTTCATACCCAAAAAATCGACATTTTAAGGTTAGTAATATCCCAATCTCAATTTATTCGAAATTATCAAATCAAACCTTGGTAATGACACCTACATTTTAAGGTTAGGGTTAATTTCACTTTATCTCAGGCTATGGAATGTCCTAGTGGGGTCCCCCAGGGCTCAGTACTAGGGCCTCTTCTCTTCTTGATCTACATAAATGATCTTCCTCAGCAGGTAACGTCAGACTTATTACTTTTTGCCGACGACGTGAAACTTTGGAGAGAGATACGCAACCAAGACGATACACAGGAACTTCAGGAGGATCTGACTCGACTTCAAAGTTGGGCAGACGATAACGGACTTACCTTTAACACTTCAAAGTGTAAAGTAGTCCATCTGCGACATGTCGCAAACTACAGTTACAACTTAGGAAACTCCTCTCTAGTAGTATCCCAAGTCGAAAAAGATTTAGGAGTCCTGGTGCCCCATGACTTGAAGTCTTACGCTAACTGTGACAAAAATGCCTTCCGAGCAAACCTTGCACTGGTAACGTTGAAGCGCATTTTTGGCCAGTTTGACGGACGAACTTTCCACACAATCTTCAATAGTTTCATCCGTCCCCATTTAGAGTACGGAAACATAGTACTCCCCCCTCACTCCAAAAGGACAAGGTCACTTTGGAGCGTATCCAACGGCGAGCCACGAAATCAGTTCGAGGACTCAAATCTAAGCCTTACGAAGAACGCCTCCGTTCACTAGACCTTTACCCACTAGAATATAGGCGTCTTAGAGGTGATTTATTAATGGCTTATAGTATTCTTAACACTTCTGGACATCCTCTTAAACACCTACTTAAGCTTAGTTCGAATAATAACCTAAGGGGTAACACCCAGAAACTGGAAACACAACATAGCAAGACGGAATGTAGACACAACTTCTACTCCTTAAGAGTTGTCAAAAGCTGGAATTCGCTGCCGGCCGAGCTAGTCCAAGCGACTTCTCAGGAGTCCTTCAAGAGGCAACTTGACCTATTCTTAAGAACCAAGGACAGCATCACACAATGATTTAACAATTTCTTTTCCTCTTTTATTGTTAACATACCTAGGTTCCTGCCTGGAGGATTTGGTGATCCCCTGCTACTAGACACGGAAGCCTGTTAAGCGAAAGCTTCTTCTATTCCGTCCACAACCATTTGAACCATTTGAACCATTTACCAAAAGCAGTCGCATTCTGTCCTTTGTGCACATATATGAATCTATCGTTATGGCGGGACAGTGAAGCTGAACGTTTTGGCAGTTAGTTAGAAGTTAATTGAGCTGGGAAAATACGCGCATCTCATCAGGGGATTTACTCCAACAGCAATTCCAGCCAACTGTTTAAGTTGTTTATCACACGATTCTTTAAAGAAAATGACTGATGGCAATGAGAAACTTAAACAAATGGAGGAGGAGATGGATAGGTATTTAGTGTGAGACAGCTTAATTTGTTTTTGAATGTAGATTCGAGGCTGAGATTGCTCATCAGTCGTCAGGCAAGACACCGAATAATATTCCAATCTCTGGAGGATTTACATTCCCTCCTGTTACTAGCTTTATGCCTCCCCAGTTACGTGTTCATCAAAACCCGACCAACGTCGTGCAGCCAGTTTATTCGGGTAATCAAAATTTTTAATATAAAGTGTTATTTGACAAAATTCCAACCATAAAATTAGTAGCAAAAGGAGAGTAATTTTTCATAGTGGCATTTTGCTGTACACGAAAGGGAATTTGTAACGTCCAGCAGCTTACAAGAGCAAGTCCTTGAAAACGCTTCATTCCTAATGAATGCATTATTTCACTGACTATGGACTGCTTAATTGGTAAAGTTAACAAAAAAGTGGCTATATACCTGTATCATTGTAGGTAACGGAAATAAATTTGATTGTCTTTTTACACAGCAACAAGGATAAAAGTCTGAATGAACTATTTCAACACATTTCGACGCCTGGTGATCTATCGTAATAAATCAACGCGTTTAAATCCCTGGTGCATAAAAACCAGGAAGTTTATACAGGAAGTAAAAAACATGATGGCAAACATGTGCTACCAAGTTGAAAGCAGAAGATTCCTCTGGAAACTTCTAAAAGTTACCCAATTTTTTTCAATACTTGCAGAAGTTTTATTTCATGTACTTAAACACACATTAGTACAAAAAGGCACCAAATACATATGCACCACACAAGTCACTCGACTTGTTCGCTCAGGATCCTAGAGCCCATGTGCACCACTGATTTGGAACCATGGTTTTCTAACTCCCCTAGGTGGATTCTCCGTATCTACCAACCTGGTTAGAGCGTCGAACATTCGCTTTTTGTCCTCTCAATTTCGTAAACATTATTTTTGCCTTGAGAAGGGAGTGAGCAGTACTTCCTTGTTAGTGGTTGTATACACGTGGTCATGTGAGAGCGTTTCGAGAGGGATAGTTGACTCTAAGCACTCTCGGTCGTACCAGGGCATTTGGGAGAAGTCGTGTCTGGAGTAATCTGTGGGCTTAGTAACAGGTTTTTTATCGTTTACTAAGCAAACCACCTAAAATAGTTCAGATTGCTTGCCAAACCAATAACGTTGACTTGTATTCTCCGTACTATTGGTAGTATAATATTTAATTTTACTGTAGATAAATTTGTTGAATAAGTACTTATAATGAATGTTAGTCAGTTAAGCTATATATATATATATATATATATATATATATATATATATATAATGTTTCTAAAACCTAAATTAATACAAAGATCCAAAATAGTACGATCAATTACTAAGGGAACAATAACAACGCCTACTGAACGTTAACAGGGACTCGACAAGATGAACCAATGAGTGTTGGTGATTTTCGTAAAGAAAAGGTGAGATTCCATAATTGGTGGTTAATTAAAAGATAATAACCTGTCTGAGAATAAAAGTCTTGAATAATACACATTTAACTTAGGTGTTATTGGTTGGTTCGCTCTTGTCGATCAATGTTAGAGGTCGGTATGTATTAATGTAACTGAAGAAATCACGATCTTCACATAAACACAACTTTTAAAGCACCTTTATAAGTCATGAGGTTATTGGAGGAATAGATGCATTACTACCTTATCTTTCAACTGTTAAATTATAAGTTGGAACTCTGTCGTACTTCATTTTGGATTACCTGCTGGCGTCAACAGCCCTCACAGTGAAGGCGTGGCTCAAAGCCAAGTGTTGAAAGTTTCCCAATCTACAATTTTGTGACGTAATTTGTTTACCAGATGCAGGGTCATGTACTTGGCTTTGAAGGATAATCTGCTTGTTTTAAGGTGATGATTCTTTCCAATCACCCAAGAAGATTTAAGTGGGGTGCGGGTCGGTGATGTGGACTTGTGAATTCTACTTCAAGTGTGCTAACAGGTCGTATACTGACGGTGCGACAAACAAAATCAACCTGTCTAGTGAAATTCCGTTAGATTTATGCTAATCTATGCCATCTTTTACCTACTTTCATGAGATAGTGTCTTCGAAGTTTTCTCAAACTGCTTGAAACCTTACTACCAACTAGTGACTGATTTCTTTCTTTCATGCATCGTTGGCATCATTTTTACGAGAGAATATTTACGATGGACGTTATCAATCGTACCTTTGGAAATTATACCTCACCGAGTTGTATTTAGCCTGGTTACGATTGTATAAGTGAACTAACTCCTACAATTCATAGTTTCTGCTAGGTGTACTAGTAGTAAAAACCTTATCAGCTGAAGGATATATTTTATTTTCCTTGAATTTGAACTGTATGAAGCAATATATATATATGAAATGTCCTACTATCATTTAACATATGTCCTCTCAGCAGCTGCTTAACTTCTCTCTTACAGTCTTACCACTGCCTCCCGGGGTTCCCATGTTTGTTCCCCTTTCTCAACCTCCTGTGTCTTGTTACCATATGAATGTCGCTCACACGCAGTTGCCGCCATCAAATCCTGTTTTCATGCCTTCAAAGGCATCTAATATGTCGATCCCAACACCAAAAGTGGAAATGTCTCCCGTTTCATCAGTTAACAAAGAGACTGTTAGTGAACATAACCCAACTCAAAAAGTTATATCTGCCCCACCACAAATGGCTGGACCAAACGAGTTAGCGGCACGAGCCAAGCAAGCCGCTGCGGCGGTTGCAGCTGCCAAGTCTAAAGCTGAAGACGAAGACGATGATGTTACTCGAGCATTGCTAGCTGCGGCAGCGGGAGTTACTTATACTCGAGTTCAGGGGCCAGATGGAAAAGGCAAGTTCATTACATATGCTACGTAGACATTTTATTTAATTGTTACTAAATTATAGTGGCCATTAGACTTGTAATTTTTTTGGAACTGGTGCTTACAACATACAATTATGTTATACTTTTCTACCCTTTATACAGTTTTACGAGATCAAGTTAGTGTTAATCATGAGCGTTGTCTGAAATATCATAACTCGTAATTTTATGTTTGGCTCTCACAATAGGATCTTTTTTCTAATCTTTAAATAAACTCTCATTTAATACTGTTTCTTGGCATTCCAGAAATGAAAATCTATTATCAGATTAAAACTTACTATTGTACAATTAATTACTAGACCGAAAGATAAGCGGATATATCAATATTATTAATAGAATTAATTTCAGTATGTATCATGGGGTTTCTTCCTACATAGTTACTTGAATAGTTTTGATCAGCTAATAATAGAAGTTTCATCTGATGTCGTCATGGCTATGTAGGAAATAAGGTACTTCAAGCAAACATTCTTTATCCAATCGTATAGCTGTTTTTGATCTGATTTAATCTCGTTCAAAATATTTTAAATCCAATTTCATATAAGAGAGGTGCCCACCTTTTGTTCACTCAGTGTAATACCTTATCTTTAACATGAATAAAGACCAGATCCAGACCCAACTCACCATGCAAAAAATTTCCTACTGTCATACGTCACACTTATCTGATCATTTTTAGTCTTGTAATTTATTAAATCATATTCATGTTCGACTCTAATGTATACGTGCATTTGTAGACTATCTGTCTCAAAGTTAACAAGCGGGTCTGTCAAGTATCGACGATGGTTGAGTAGGCTAAGGTCACTAACGTTTTGTGTTGTCCTCATATATCACGACCAAATTCTTAAAACGGTCGTTGCTGTAAACTACTTTGCTCATTTTATTAGTGGAATTTTGTGAATTTTCGCGAAATGCTGCACGACGAAAATGCCGATTTTCGGTTTCAAGAACAGCATCCTAATTTCATACTATCACTTCCTAAAACCTGCAGCAATATTAATTGTAAACTTTCCGCAAACGATTAAAATCTAACATATCCTTCCATGGGACAAGTAGAATAATTATGCTGTAGACAAATAATGTACCTTAGTCCATTGACGTTTTCAGAGCTACATTCTACTGTTGTTCATTGGTATATGTTTGTATCTCAAATTTAACATTTTCCAGAAAAGGTTTTAGCAAGTATCACTAAACCTCCGCTAACACCAGTCGTTACACAATCAAGTAAAAAATCAAAGCTAACCGATCTCAATACAGATACGGAAGTGAACAAAGTAACACAAACAACAATACTACCACCGGTACCACCTACAATTTATCGTTCTGCTAGTACAACTACAAATGATCAAGTCTATAAAAAGAAAAAGTACATTCGCACAGCTGCTGGAGCCACTTGGGAAGATCCGACTTTGGTTGAATGGGATCCAAGTAAGGTGCTTATTTTATTTACCTAACTTGTAGTATACGCATTTTATTGTTTTTTTTTGTACTCGTCAGCTTAATTTATGCAAACAGAAGTGTTTGTAGCTACATGTTTATTAAATAGTTTCATCTCCACAAAGTATGTAGATAAAAACTAGTCTTATTTATCAGAATGGCTTATTTACTCAAGATATAATTGGATTGATATAAGTCAAACATAATGCATGTACTGTAGGCAACTAATGTAAAGTAACAAGTTGAAAGTCAAGTATTTTAGGGCAAACAGTCAACAAAATGTAGAATTGACGAGCAGTGATTACATTCAGTGTGATCGCGTGAACAACTTTTCCTATTGGGATGTTCATGGAACGGTAACCGTGTAAATCTTTAGTGATAAAGTATTCTTCGAATTATGTAAAACCCATAGAATGTTTTTGTTGAAGTCATCCACGAAAGCTACGAATATTTCACATAATCTCACACTAGAACGTATAAGTCTACCAAAAAACTATTTAAGGAAGTTTTATTTGTTGGTTGTGTGACTAGATTTGATCAGAAATTGAGTACCGAGCTTATGGAAGATATTACTTACTTACTTACTTACTTACGCCTGTTACTCGTGAAGGAGCATAGGCCGCTCACCAGCACTCTCCATCCAACCCTGCCCTGGACAATCCTTTCGAGCTCTTCCCAGTTGTTATTCATCATTTTCATATCTGCCTCGATTTCCCGACGTAATGTGTTCTTTGGCCTTCCTCTTTTACGCTTCCCTTCAGGATTACAAGTTGGGGCTTGCCTCGTGATGCAGTTCGGTGATTTGCGTAATGTATGTCCTATCCATCTCCATCGTCTTTTCCTAATTTCCTTTTCAGTTGGAAGCTGGTGTGTTCTCTTCCACAGAAGGCTGTTGTTGGTGGTATCCGGCCAATGGATGTTGAGTATCCTGCGTAGACAGCTATTTATAAATACTTGTACCTTCTTGATGGTGGTTATTGTATTTCTCCAAGTTTCAGCTCTGTACAGTAGAACTGCCTTGACGTTGATATTGAAGATCCTCACTTTGATATTGGTTGAAAGTTGTTTTGAGTTTCATATGTTTTTCAATTGTAGGAATGCGGCCCTTGCTTTGCCAATCCTCGCCTTCACGTCTGCATCTGAACCTCCTTGTTAATCGATGATGCTTCCCAGGTATGTGAAGGATTCTATATCTTCCAGAGTTTCGCCATCAAGAGTGATTGGATTGCTGTTCTTCGTTTCGAATCTGAAGACCTTGGTTTTCCCCTTGTGTGTGTTGAGGCCTACTGATGCAGAGACTGCTGCTACATTGACTGTCTACTGCGTCTCATCCGGTTTAGCAACATTCTGTTAGAGACTTTCGCTGGTACTGACAGTAGTGTAATGCCTCTGTAGTTTTCACATTTGCTCAGATCTCCTTTCTTTGGAATCTTGATGAGGTGTCCTTCTTTCCAGTCCATCGGCACTTGTTCCTCATCCCAAATCTTTTTGAATAGAAGATAAGGCATGTTTGTAGTTACTTCGATGTCTGACTTCAGCTGATATGTTGTCGGGTTCTGCTGCTTTCCCGTTCTTGATTTGTCTGATGGCCATTCTGATTTCTTCCGTCGTTGGTGGATTGACACCTATAGGATGATCTATGTGTGCTGCTTCGATGTCTGGTGGATTCATTGGAGTCGGCCTATTCAGGAATTCCTCGAAGTACTTTACCCATCTGTTCTTCTGTTGTTGAATTTCGGTGATTGGCCTGCCTTCTTTGTCTTTGACCGGTCTCTCTGGTTTACTATATTTCCCTGCTAGTCTCTTCGTTGTATCGTAAAGCTGTTTCATATTTTCTACTCTTGCAGCTTTTTCCGCCATCGATGCTAGTTCTTCCATGTATTTCTGCTTGTCGGCTCTAGTGCTCTTCTTCACTTGCTTGTTTGCTTCTATGTACTCAGCTTGTGTTTGGACTTTCTCTGCTCGTGTTCGGCTGTTGTAAATTGCTGCCTTCGTGTTCTTCCTTTCTTTGATCCTGTCCAGTGTTTCTATAGAGATCGATTCCTTATGATGATGCTTCTTGAGGGCCAGAACCTCCTGACACGTTGGAGTTAATGCTTCTTTGATACTTTCCGAGTTGTCCTCCATAGTAGTTTCTTCTTCTTTCAGTAGATCCTGTAAGGCTTGGAACCTGTTGTTGAGAGCTATCTTGAATTCATTGAGTTTGTCAGTATCTCGAAGGAAGGCTGTATTGAACCTTTGTAGTGCTGATTGTCCAGTTCTTCTTTAGCTTCAGTCTTAAATTGACCACAACTAGGTGGTGATCTGAAGCTATGTCAGCTCCTCTCTTGGTTCTCACATCTTCCATTGTCCTTCGGAACTTTTTATTGATGCAAATATGATCTATCTGGATCTCTGTGGTGTGGTCCGGTAAGATTCATGTAGCTTTATGTATACGTTTGTGTGGAAATATTGTTCCGCCTATGACCAATTTATTGCAAATCTTTCCCCAATTTCGTTTCTCTCTCCCAGTCCATGTCGTCCCATGATATCTTCATATCCGGTGTTGTCTATTCCGACTTTGGCGTTTAGATCTCCCATCAGAATGGTGAGGTCCTTTCTTGGGCACTTCTCTATGATTGATTGCAGCCGCTCATAGAATTGATCTTTAATGTCGTTGTTATCATTGGTGGGTGCATAACATTAGATAATATTCATTGTGATCCCCTCCTTCTTTGTTTTGAATGATGCTTTGATGATTCTGGATCCGTGAGATTCCCATCCTACAAGTGCATTTTGTGCTACTTTGGACAGCATTAGAACAACTCCCTGAGTGTGTGGAGCATTTTCCTCTTCGTGGCCGGAGTATAGCAGCATCTCTCCCGTATTTAGCCTTTTCTGTCCAGCTTGGGTCCAATGGGTTTCGCTGATTCCCAGTACTGCCAAGTTGTATCTCCTCATTTCCGTTGCTATTCGACTGGTCTTCCCGGTCTCCCACATTGTTCGGACGTTCCATGTACCTATAAAAATTGTTGCTCCGGTTGTTAGAAGAGGTATCGGCCTCGTGGCTTCCGAAGGAACTCGGCTTTCACCATGAGGCGTCATAGTTCTTCTAAATGAAGACCTAACTCCCAGGGCAGAGTTTAAATGGTTTGAATTATTTTTTCTGGTTAGCGTTCTTTAGCGAGTTAGTTATCTACGGGATGGGGTCGCTAACCCCATGTCCAACCCTCCTCCTCTACCCGGGCTTGGGACCGGCAGTAACTCTAGAAGAGCTGCAGGCGGAGTTATGGTGGATGTTTTTCGTAAAAATCATGTTAGTAATAATCTCAGCGATTGAAAGAATCTATGGCATCCTGCAACTAAATCTACACTAATATTTTATCGAATAATGTTCAGATGTTGATTTTAGTGAATAGAAAAAATGAGTCAATAGGATGTGAGTAGTGTGAACAGTTTTATGGTGATTTGAAGTATTCGAATTATTGTGCTAAGAATTTCCGAAATACTGTTATTTAAGGCATGTAGGTTTAGGTGAGCACAAATGAACGTATTATATTTGGGATTCGTAATTAGCGCGCAGTCAAGTACAAAGGAATCATCATTTAGTAAACACCACAAGGTGAAAAAGAATGAGTGTGTACATGCACCTTGTTATTAGTTGAGGTTTGGTTTAATAAAATTCAGCCTGTCTACTACCAACGATAATTTTTTTATTAAAAGTGGGGATAATAATACAAATCGAAGTATTTTAGAACGTCGAATTGTATATAAATTGAGGAACGTTAAATACAAAGTTGTGAAGTTAAAACAATCAGACTAGCTTTTTTGTCCTGATATAGCAAACAGATATACGCTCTAGAGACTGAAAAGATAAGCGAATGAGTTTAAAACCCACTACCTAGCTTAGAAGATAAAGAACACTAGCAATTTGTAGGACGACTTGTCCTCTAGCGAATAAATTTGTTCTTCATTTGGCTTCCAGATGACTTCCGATTATTTTGTGGGGATTTGGGAAATGAAGTGACAGATGACACTCTAGCACGAGCATTTAACCGCTACCCTTCTTTTCAAAAAGCAAAAGTTGTTCGAGACAAACGTACCAGTAAATCTCGTGGTTATGGTTTCGTTAGCTTTTCTGATCCTGGAGATTTCACACGTGCCATGCGAGAAATGAATGGTAAGTTATAATCTACTTTTACTAGGCTATGTACAAAATTGTCTGCTCTATCCGATTACTTATCTTGATCAATCGAATAAAACGAGATTTTGCTTGTAGTTCCGTACCAATTAATAGATACTAAATCACAAATAACTTCGAAGGTGAAACATAATTTGCTTGTTTTCTTTAGTAGATATAGGATGATAAAATCTAGAAAAACCTCTTTATTATTGGAATCCATTGTCAAACTCTGTACAAGTAAAAAACTGCATATGATTTTGATCATGTGTAGAATAAACTTGTGGTTTGTTTATTTAATAACAGAGAGGTGCTTCCTACAGCTATTACCGTTATCTCACCGACGTTTTTCGTCTTATCGACTCAGTAAATACAGCTCATTTGGATGTTACTCAGGACGAACATGACTTGGAAAGATGACACGTCACACAAATGCCGATTCGTATAACTGCACTTCACAGAAGCAGAATGAGTGTCTTAAAGACCACTACAGATTAAAGATTCCTGATATTTAGACAAAAGAATACACCTGGGTCCTTGTGATCTATTTCAGCCAGTCTCCTAGCGCCAATAGTGATATAAAGCAAATCGGACTTTTATCCCAAAACATTACTTATGAAATTTCAATTAGAGTAACCAGACATTTAATACTCTCCCATCAAAACCAATTTTCGATAGGAATTACAGAATGTGATGATTGAAGAAAAGACTGGATAAAAAGATATTGGCTGCGTTTGTGGAATATAAGCTATACGACAGTAACTGAAGGAATTCACATTATTTGTCACTACACGAATTCAGTCAGTCATAAATAACGTAAGAACTGTGGCGCATGCTCACCACCCCAAATTACTAAACGACATTAGTACAAAATCATACAAATTACTCCATCTAAAGAATCAGCATTTATTTTATTTTGACACATAAATATTGGTACAAAGAAGTACCAGATAATATGCACCGCACAATTACAGTGAGAATGTGAAGAGATAAAGAATGGGAGGTGCGTAAAAGAAGTAAGACAATGAACGGAAATTAGTGTATGATAGTGAAATAGAAATAAAGGGAGAGGAAGTTCAGCCACAGCGAATTCTTCCACACAAGGTAATTACGTCCTTTTTCATATGAAGAAAGTAAAAGAAGGTTGCAACAAAATCGCCACTGGCTTCTATTCTGAATCATGTCTGATGACGTCTCAAGCCACTGTGTTGCACCATCTCTAGAACCCCAACCAGGGAGTCGCGAAGGACCAAGAGAGACCAGTCATGTACAGCTTTTCTTCATACCACGACACCATGTCATACATTGATCACCTATCCGCTTCTTCCAACCAGTCCCAGCGTCGGCAAATAATGCAAGACATGAAATCCTCCGAGACGACATTCGTAAAACATGTCCAAGCCACCGAATTCGATGTTTCAAGATAGTGACACTAATTGAACTATCGTCACTGTGGCGGAACGCACAATTTTGCCACTAGACGTGACCGATCCTTTAGAGACAACGATGATCAAACACCCAGTCTTCTGAAAATTCTCAACTCGGAGAGACCATGTTTCACAAGCATAGAGCAGAACTGCTCTCTCCAACGCGTTGTAGGTCCGACCTTTTACAGCCAGACTAACATCACGAAGGCATCAAAGATGGTCCAGATTGGCATAAGCCGCTCTGGCTCTCACTATACGTGCATTGATCTCATCACTCACGCCACCACCAGCACTTATGCAGCTACCTAGATATACGAACTTCTCGACTACTTCTATCTGCTCACCATCCAGGGTGAGTACAGGATTAGAATCCTGCCAGTCTTGTAGAAGTACTTTGCACTTCAAAGGTGCAAAGCACATAACATACCTACGGACACTGATTAAGTGAGAATTGCATGGTTTGGGCATTATCGCACAGTAAGACAATATCATCCGCATACTTGAGGTCGAGATCTTCTTCAAACAATAGATCCACGCCGCCACTACCTACATTCATCAGAGATGTTTCCAGAACGTTATCGACAGAAAAGTTGAAGGGGATGACGAGATTGAGCAAGTTTGCCTAACTTCACCGAAGGAATGAAGCAACGATTGTCGACACATGTAGAGTTTATAAAGTATCAAATACGTTCTCACGAGCGGAGTCGGTATATACTATTTGTTTGTACGATACTCTCGAAAGATACTCCGATATGCTACGCCAACATAAACATCTTACAGTTGGATGATTAATTTATAGAGGCAGATATGTTATCACATTTGCAAAACTTGCAATGAAACGGAACTTTAACCAAGTAAATATATTTCCCACACCACTTCGTAGCAACCGGGTTGTCAATATACCTTTTTTCCTAGTGGTGAGTGGGATGAAAATACCCAGGTTCCACACATTGTTCTTTAGTTATGTACAGTTTCTTTTAAATATCCATTTTATTTGAGCGGAAACTATGAGTCAATGTGTTTTACAGTTTCTATGTTATTTAATACTACTTTTGATGATTGTGAGGTACACTTCTGAACCAAACGCATATGTAGGCTTCGTTTTAGCCCTAATTCTCGCTTTGCTCGTGAGATAGCATGGAACCCTTTGTTACAAAAATCTTTTCAACTGATTGTTTTGGATATTTATGTCACTAAGACAGCAAAGTTCTTGAAGTACGCCTGTAGGCAAAATCGCAATATGAGTTGTTAGAAACTTGCAACCATATAAAAGTTTGAAGCAACATCTTATTTTTCTGATAAAGACATGCTGTCAATATCTTATAACATTATGGTTTCTGAAACCTGTTTTAGGTAAATATGTTGGTAATCGTCCGATCAAACTGAAAAAAAGCGAGTGGCGTAATCGTCAACTGGAAGTCCATAGAAAAAAGGAGAAAGAAAAACGAAAACTTGGTTTGAAAAACTGATATTTTTAACCGAAGTCTATTAAATTTATCCTGTGAATATTTTCCTACTTTTGAAATACAAAGACTCAAGATAATCATAGCATTTCCCAGTATTATTTCTATACTTGTTGGAATTAAAACCTTCAACAAATCGTTGTCCTTTTTATGCTGATGGAATTTACTAGACCAGACGAGTTTTGTTATACGTTATATTCTGAGGCTTTATAGATTATAAGATTGAAGGTTTTTAGAAGGAACTTTTTAATCGAGACATGTAGGTTGTTTATACTTAAACAGTTTATGGTGTTTGTGGTGATAGGACCAACTCTTCAATGACCAGCATAAATTTATAACTGCTAGTTGGTGCTCACATTTACTTTTCTATCAGAGTAAACACGTGTAGTTTATCATTACGGCTATTAAAATAAGTGGTAGTAGAAAGCGTTCTATGTTGCCACACGTAACCACTACAACGTTTTGATGATTTGTTTATTTATTACATAAACACAAACATTGGTTCAAGTCATCACCATATATATATGCGCCATACAAATCATTTGATTTGTGTGAGGACTGGGATACTGTCCAGACACCCAAATCGAAATAGGGGGTTTTCTTAGGGGTTCACTCCTTGAACCTTTGACCTACAGGTCTAATCCACAAGACAATGGAGCAACGTTGGGAGATGCAGTCCCATAGTAGCCGGTGACCAACAATAGGTTCATACGCCATTTGTTCGCTCATGATCCTAGAGCCCATGTGCACTATTGGTTTGGAACCATGGTTTTCCAACTCCCCTAGGTGGATCCTCCGTATCCACCAACCTGGTTAATGCGTCGGACATTGGCGTTTTGTCCTCTCAATTTCGTAAACATTATCTTTGCCCTGAGAAGGAAGTGAGCAGGACTTCCTTGTCAGTGGTTGTATACGCGTGGCCATGTGAGAGCATCTCGAGAGGGATAGTTGACTCTAAGCACTTTCGGCCGGACCAGGGCTTTTGGGGGCCAAGCGACACTCAATGGAGATGATAATAACAGTAATCAACTATGATTCAAGATCGGTATCCTATCTACTTTGCACTTACAAACAAGTTTGAACGTAAGATGCTCAGTTTCATGAGGCGTGTAGTTTACACTTAGTGTGGCTCTTTAGAGTGTACTTGAGGAACTCTTGATGAGTATATTCTACTTATTAGTTGTTATATTCTGTAGGATGGTGGAAAATTATATATAGAGAGGATGTACTACCACGATCTCGCTTCACTAGCTACGTATCATTTACCAAGTACCTAGAAATTCTCCACCCTCTAATCTATACAGCTACTTCATTCGCAAGTAATCATTGCGTGAGCATCTGCAAAATTCCAAGGGATTTCGCATAATGTTCTGAACATTTTTCCAGTAAATAATTCAGAGAAACTTAGCATCTATCTTGATATGGCATACGAGAAAATCAATGCTAAACTACTATGCCTTTTGGAACCAGCTTATATGGGAGCAGAGACTACTTCAAAAGCGACTATTATTCATAAATTTCATAAGAAAACGCATCGATTTAAGATGGTCTATATCTTAACCTCACATGTAGAAATAAACTAAGTAACATCGTAGTTTAACAATCCAAAAATGAATAGAGTAAAGTGACACGAAATATCTCAAGGTACTTGTGAAGTAGGTGTATACATTGAGTTCGTTTTCAACCACACCAGTGCAGCCTTCAGTCACTTTTATATAATCGCAACAGCCAACAAACTAAACAGCAGTATGAGGTTTCATAAATCTGTGCCATATGTGTTATCCCTGTCACTTTTTTTTCAGTCTAATTATATGTAATTTAGTGTAAGAATTGGCTAAGTCATCTTAAAAACGGACTTGGCACGCGAAAAAACAGTAATCAGTTACAAACTCAGAAGTTTAATTAAAAATCAACAAGGTTTTTTAATCTGTTTTTAATCGCATTTTGTTAGCGATTTGCAATCGTTTAGATTGAATTATTAAACTGTTGATCTGTAAAACAAGGAGTAGCTAATGTGAAAAGTAAATAGGAATAAGTGAACTTACAACAATTAGTAGACTGTTTAAAATAACAGGAATGTTCCAAATACAAGATATGAAATATCCATAACTATCAAAATATTGCTCAGTAGCGAACAAGCTAGAAAGGTTAAAATACTTGCAAAAGATTGTTACTTCCAGTTATTAGCAGCGAATTCATTAATCCGGTGTGAAAACCAAACAGTACCAACTATGTTATAAACAATTATACATGAAACCTTACGGGAAATAAGCAAAATACACAGCAACAAATTTGTACACTTGCGGAAAGCAATTACACATATGGATGTGAGAAAATGAAATCCAATTAGTGAAACTAACCATAGTTCACTGGTCCATGGTATCTAAGTAGAAAATCATAATATGAAATTTACAGACCGATAATATAGTACCATAGATAGTATTTACAGTAGGGTTGGTTGTAATGTCGAGGAATTGAAAACTGAAGTTCATCTGTTATTGGACAGAACCCTTAGATCTGCAAATGTCTAAAGATTGGGGATAATGTAAATGGTGAGAATCATAATTCAGTAGTTACATACACGTGTCAAAAATTTGTACAAGAAGATAAGTTAAAATAACCATATTGACAGTGGTGGGGAACCGAAAGGGAATAAGTGATGACAAGTACCACTTAGCACTATGTTCGACCCGACCGTTGTTGCTACCTTGACGTGGTGGTCGGGCTTGCCTATCGTGATGAAGCAACCGAGCTATACTGGCTGGAACAACCGTTCCTCAAGGTCCTACCATGTCAGACAGGTCGGTTGAAGAGCGGTAAGACTGAAGGCAACAAACCCAAGGTTCGAAGGCGAAGTCGTACTGCTGACTGTACAGAGGTGTGACAGCAGTAAGGTGTTTCCTTCAGACAACCAGCATGACAGCGATGCTGCCTTCCCACAAGGAGGGGTGGAGTTAGAAAAGGTCGATCCTAAAAATGCGCACCTCACCTTACCACATGGATTTCCGTCGCCGGCGGTAAGGCCATTTGAAGAACGGAGCTAACACGTCAAAAACCTCCCACGAAAAGGCCGTGCGCGACCGGCCTCAAGCAGTTGTCCCTTGGGCTCTGCGGTCACTGAGACCACCTCTAATCCAATTTCCTTTTCAGGCACCTCCAGAAGAACCCTTCCTCGGTGTGTGCAACCGGGAAGTTATAACCGCCCTCATACCTCTAACAGCACTCGAGACTGACTACGTTCGAACAACATGGTTTCAGAAAGGGATTGTCTTGCACAACAAACCTCCTTATAACAAGGGAATCTTGGATAAGGGCGCTAGACAACGGAAACTCAGTGGATGTTGTCTACATAGACTTTAGTAAGGCATTTGACAAGGTGCCAACAAATAGACTGCTATTGAAGTTAGAGAATTTTTGTATTGCCGAACCTCTCATAAAGTGGTTTAAGGATTTCCTAGTAGGTAGTAGACAGGAAGTAAGAATAAATTCCAAGTGCTATACCTGAAGATCAGTATTTAGTGGAGTACCTCAAGGTTCTGTCCTAAATCCTTTACTTTTTATACTGCATGTAAATGACCTTTCAAGTATAGTACAGTCTCCAATGTTATTATACGCTGACGATGTAAAAATCTGGCGAGTTATAACCGGAGACGCAGATGCATGCGCACTTCAGGCAGACTTGAATAATGTGATTAACTAGTATAGGGAGTGGTTGATGCCTATCAACGCGGCAGTGTGTACATGCACTTCGGGGATACATAGATTAATTGGTACAACATAGGGGAAGTGTCTGTACCGATGGTCCGGTCTCATAAGGATCTTGATGTGACAGTGAGTCATTATTTTAAAACCACGGCCCATTGACGGGAGGTCGCAGCTGAGGGGTTCAGAACCCTCTGGACTCACCAAGTTAGATACTACCATGTTCATCACAGTATACATAACCTTAGTGACGACTAAGCTTGAGAACTGCGTTCAGGCTGCAAACCTCTGTTTAAAAGGTGATTCGGATATCCTGGAAAACGTACAGAGGGCAGCTACCCGTGCGATCCCAGAACTTTTGGGTTTGCTTGCAGATTGAGAGCTGATCTATTTTTGATGTATAGAACACTAAGAAATGATTTTCGACCTAATATAGTCTTTTTCTTCCCACTAGACTGGGACATCTCAGAGGACATAGCAGGCGAGTAGAGAAGCCAAGAACGAACAAAATACCAGTGGCATACATTTTTTCACACCGAGTCCGCAATTCTTGGAACCTGTTACCCGAAGCCGTTTTGTCCGCACCTTCGATTGACTCATTCAAGAGAAGACTGTACACTCATAGAAGCATACTAGTAAGAAAATAACATAGGCCGTAGGCCTTCTGTCTTTACTACACAAATATGAAATATGTGGCTCATATGATAGTCTCTTTAGTTAACTCTGCTTATAACTTTTATACAAAGGAATTATATCGTTTCATATTTGTCAGATGAGTAAAAACTATTATATTACGCTTTTAATAGGAAGAAATAATCGAGTTAGTTGCAAAAGATTTATTTATCTGAACACATAAATATTGGTACAAGAGTGCGCCAAATATATATGCGCTACACAAAACAATGAGAATTTGAAGAGAAGAAAAAAGGTAAGGAGCGTTAAAAAAAGGGAACGATAATGAAGAGATTGGTGTAAGGCAGTGTAATAATAATAATAATAATAATAATAATAATAATAATAATAATAATAATAATAATAATGGGGGAACGAAAGGTACAATCAGAAGAAATCTTTCAGTTAAGATACAACCACTTTTTATGAAGAAAGTAAAAGTTGACAGCAGGATCGCTACTGGCTTCGATTCTGGGCCATATCTGATAACGTCTCTAGCCACTGTGTAGCACCATCTCTAGGACCCCAACCAGGGAGTCGTGAAAGACCAACACAAGCCAGTCCTTTGTAGCTTTCTTTCATGCCACGACACCATGTCATATACTGACCACCTCTCCGTTTTTTCCAACCAGTCCCAGCGTTGCAAGAGAACTAGTAGTGGACGAAAAACTATGCAAGAATCTGTGAACTATGCTGAGCATTACAATATGCTTCCTAGGAATAGCTGTTTAGTGAAAAAAGTGCAGAGAGCAAAAAGTCTTAGGTCTTTATATATTGAGGCTTCGGTGGATTTTTAGGCTTAGAAATTACATAATGTTTGCACCACCACTAGGCAGGATGAGACAAGCATATCGTTCGCTTCCCTAACTTCACCTGAAAACGGGATGGGTCCCATCCCAGTAAGTCACCTGTAAGATCAAGTGGTTTATCAGATTTGATAGGTTGTATACAGTGATGCAGAACATGTTGTCAGCTATTACTGACTTGAGTACAAATGTAAAGCTGCCGCTAGCGAAGTTCAGTGAAAGCGAACATCCGCATCAATTCGATTGCGAACTATCAAGTCAGCAGTTCCCTCTGTCATCTGAAGAGGAACTGCAAATGCTGGACACTGGTTTGCAGCAGAAAGAAACCAGGGACAGATTTTTAAGTCAACAACATTAGTTTTATAATTTGTTCGTATTACAGATGGCCATAGTAACGAGGTTAATGGATAATGATCCTAAAACCTCAGTGCGATATGTTTTGTCGTACCTCATTACACCTGAGGTTGCCAGTAATTTCACGCTACTTGGCACTTCTTTAAAACGAGCACTTCAGAAATGCCGGCTTTACGGCTGCTTACGAAGTAACCTATATCTATTATTTAAACTTCAGGTGCATTAACCAATCGCTTTTTGTCATCATCTGTCAACGAAAAAGACCTTGCGAAACTGTATGATATCACGACACAAGATTATTTTCACGACGTCAGAGACAAATTGGTAAAGCGTAAAAGGGGGAAACAAGGACAGGTATGTACTAATTTAAAGTGATAACTTTCCTACTGCTCTATAGTTACATTCAACAGTGTTAACGAACATAACCGTAAGTGAAGCTTCAAGTATCTGGCTGTGCCAAAGCATGTCATTCAGATATCGTTGTAACTTTAGCCTTTATTCCCCCTTTATTGGTTGCCTGGGTTCTTTCGTTCTTTACACTTCAGAATTCACAGGAATATTATTTTCATTCTCAATAGCTGAACATGCGTGGCTAAAGGAAGTAACCCATGATGTTTTGTATGTCCTACTTATTTTTCAATAAACATTATTTTGTAAATGAGCTTACTTTCTTACTTACAGGGGGAACTATATAAGTGTTGAGAAAGTGTGTTTGATTGTCAGTGAACTTGCGATTAAATAAACATGCCTTATAATTAATACATCACGTTTCTTCTCTTGCAGATCTTTTCAAATAACAATGAATTGGCAATCACAATGAAAATGCATAACGATTGATGCTCATGCTTCTGCTATAATGTTGTACAATAATACGCTTGTCCTTTTCAATAAATTTACTTAAACACATACCACTTTTCCCGTGGATCGCAGTTTTAGTGTGGCTTGTCGTGGGGATAAAGGCGAACATAGGAGACCTTTTGGGTTATGACAATGGTGTTTAAAAAGCTGAGGCAGAAGCAGACAATTCAGCTGACGATGTCAAGATATGGAGAACGATACGATATAAGGATGATAGCTTCGAACTCCAAAATGACCTGAAGAGATTACCTGAATGGTCTCAAACCTGGCAGCTGCCGATAAATACTTCCAAGTGTGTTGTGATGCATATCGGTCATTAAGGTACAGATATATACACGATGAATAACACTGAGCTACCTGTCGTCCAGACATAAAATGACTTAGGAGTCATCGTTAGCCAAGACTTAAAGACTACTGTATACTGGTGTGCGATAGCCGCCAAAGGTTTTAGAACCTTATGGTCAATACGCAGGGCTTTTAGTCATGTCGACGCTAAGACGTTTTTGACTTTGTATATAGTGTTCGTACGTCCTAAACTTGAGTACTGCATACAAGCGGCTAGCCCCTGCTTAAAAATAACAGTGAGCTTCTGGAAAAGGTTCAGAGAACGGCAACTAAGCTGATTCCTGGAATAGCGAAGCTTCTGTATGAAGCTCGACTGGCCAAGCTGAACCTTTTCCCGTTGTCATATCAGAGAACTAGAGGCGACTTGATTACAGTTTTCAAATTGTTTAGTGCCAAATTTGCACCTGATATGCCTTCATTTTTCTTGTCTTTCAAAACAGAGAATTTACGAGGGCACTCCAAAAAAGTTCACAAGCCCAGAACAAATTACTTGTCAGCTGACTATCGACTTTCCCATCGAAACATCAACGAGTGGAATTCACTAACTTAGCACGCGGTTGAGGCTCTATCCGTCGATTCTTTCAAAAGAAAGTTGGATCAACTGAGGGACTACCATTTCCAGGACTAACATAGACCGTCAAGCCTCCTGTCCTTCCCAAACTGAAACTGACGTATGTTTTGGCGAAAAGTAAACAATTCCGCGACATTTGAGCTATAAAAAGGGGAAAACCCGCATTATTTTCCCCGGACAGGCGAAAAAGCAGACATTTTGACGCTTTTTCCCCTTATTT